AAGAGAGTAAAAATTGAATACAAAGAGAGAAAATAAAATCTTTTACTGTTGGTGACGATGACTGGTAACGACGATGGCTAGCAGTTGTGTGCGACATGTACGTGTGTTGTGCGTTAGGGCTGGGCTTGGCTAGGGTGCTGTGAGATAGAAGAATGGGAGAAGAGATAGAGGGGTAGAGAGAGACAAATAGAGAGTTACTTGGGTGAGAGTGGTGGTGGCACTGGGTGATGCTGCTAGCATTGGCAAATGTCTAGCATTAGAGAGAGAAAGAGAGAGAAGGGTGTAAGGGAGGAGAGATTGGGAGAGAGCAAGACAGAAGTAAGATTGAGATGGATTCCATGATAGAGATTTTAGGGATGAGTTTGAAAGACAGTTATAGAGGCGTGAGATATTGGAAGAGAGAGAGCTAGAAGTGAGATTGACGAAGATTTGAGAAATTTCAGATAATTGAGGGAGGCGAGAGTTAGGAAATGTTATTAGGCAAAAAATAAAATTCAATATTCACCGTACACTGTCGAATCAATATTTATGAAATTATCTGAATTGTCTTTTATATTGAGATTACATTATCCGTTAATCATATTTATATTTTGTCTCAAAATAATCTGCACCAATCTTTATCTCCAAAATTCAAAATCACCACTATTTTATTCTATAGATAAAACGACCTAATTGTAAACTATTAAACTCCAATAAACAAGTTTTTTGTACAGTACTTCAGCTCTTGTGAAGACGTCCATGGCTTTCAAGAGACTCAGCAAACTGATTCAGATATCGGTCTTCTCCATTCTTGTCTGTGAATAATAATTCACTCAGTTCCTTAGCTTTCTCCCTGTATATCCTTCCTTCGTTCTTCGCCATTACCAACCTCAGAGACTCAGCCACCGAGTTCCTCGTAAACGACCCATCTTCTTCATATCTCTGTATTTGTATCCCCACCTTCTTCTCCACAAGAACCAGAGCATTCAACCCTTGGCCCACAAAGAACGGCAATGAGTGGGTGCCCAAACATTAAACCCTCTACAATTGAACTCCAACCAAAGTGAGTCAAGAACCCGCCAATTGAGTCATGAGACAATATCCTGAGTTGAGGCACCCAACTCGTCCAAACAAGCCACGCCCTTTGATTCGCTCCAAGAACCCATGTGGCAACTCAACCGAGTCAGACTCGGTCGAACCCGGGGGCTTTCTTAAAGCCCAGATGAAAGGTAACCCAGACAGCTCCAACCTCAGAGCCAACTCAGTGACATCATTTTGACTCAGTGTCACCTCGCCCCCCAATGCAACATACACCACAGACCCTTTGTTTTGCTTTCAAGGCAGTTTCTGATAGAGACCCATTTCTAATCTTTCTCATCGCCGTAATCTTTCACCGACGGAGGTATTAATCCTACTGGAATTACAGGCTTCTGGTAAAGCTCTTCGAGAAGCTTCAACCAAGCAGGTTCGAGCTCGTTACAGTCTCGGAAAAGAATGACATCACACCCCATAATCGCAGAGCCCAAACGATAAGCATCCGAAAACCCTGAATCGGTGTTTTCAATTGCTCTCTGGATCCAGTTGGTCTCGTATCGCCGATACGCTAGGTTCGTCGGAAAAGATACCCATTCAGGTGGCACTGTAAAATCCTCCGGCGACTTCCGTGGATCTGATACGTCGATCATTATAGAAGCTGATCATCCACTGGTAGTGATCAACCTAGCGTTGAAGATGGAGAAGAAGGCACACGAAATGCCGAGCTTTGAAGCAATTGAGGGTAACCCGTGAGGGGCAAAGTCATAAATAACCCAATCCGCTGATGAGTTTTCGAGAAATTGAGAGAGATCATTTTCGAGACCATCAAAGGCCATCTTGAGGAAGACGATGTCCTCTGCACAGACATCAATGGTGGCCTCTGCATGTTCAGGGAGATTGTGGATTCGAGGTAGAGGAAGGTCAACTAGGTTTATGAGAGAGGCTAAGCAGGGCCGGCCCAACAGTAATAGGCGTAAAAAACCTGGGCTTTAGGCTTCATTTAAAAAGAAGGCCCAAACTTTTAAACATCGTAAATAATGTAAAAAGAAAATTTATAAAAATATATGTCTAATCAACTATTTTAGACCCATAATTAAATCTAAATATTGAATATCTAAAAAAAATTAACAATATAAAAAAAAATTGAAAAGTCATATCAAAGTCACCAAAATAATTTAAAAGTCAAATCATATCTTCTTTTTAACATTCTATCTATATCTCTCTTTCTACCAAACCAACTATACAAAAACAATTTTTTTTTCTTTCTCTCTCTCTCATTAAACTGAAAAAAAAAAAAAAACTCTTCTTTTTCTCTCTCTCTCTCACAATGCTCTCAAAACTTGAGAATTCACAGAACTCATTACGCATAGATCAATTTTTTTTTTTGTCAAGTGCTACAGCGGAGAACTTACAGATCACTCAGGTGACTGATTCGGCGGCGGTGACTTGGCCTCCACTCGATTCTCCATCATCAACTCGAGTTTTCATTGCAACATAAAGGACATAGTTTAGAATCAAAAAGCCAACATTTGAGATCATTCAAACCAGATTCTATTGTTTTATAATTTTAAATTTTTTTGTTATATATTTTTAACTATACTATATATTGTGTTTGTTTGATTGTTTTATAGTTATAATATATTAATAATATAGCACCTAGAAGACAATCAAGTGGATACGAAATTTTTTTTTAAAAAAAAAATAGATCTACTAATAGAATCTCAAAAAGATTTCTTGATAAATTTGTTACTAGTAACAAAAATATTGTAACAAAAAATTTAGATGAAATTTGAAAATGAACAAATAGATAATGAAATAGAAGAGAATAAAATAAAAAATATTGAAATTGGAAATTTTGAAATAAAAGATAATGAAATAGAAGATAATAAAATAAAAAAATACTAAAGTAGAAAATATTGAAATAAAATATAATAAAATAAAGGATAATGAAACAGAAAATAGTGAAAAAGAAAATAATGAAATAAAAGATATTGAAATTGAAGACAATCAAAATCTTAATGAAACAAGTGATTATAGTCATATAAATATTTATAATCCAAGTCAATGGAAAAATATTGATACGAAATTAAAAGATTTATTAGTAGAAAATGGTCCAATTAGATATAATAATTTAGATTTTCCTAGGATGAATACTCTAGACATTGTTCTACTACACAATATATTCGAAAATTAACAAATAGGGAAACACTTGATAGAATATGGCTAGTATATTCAAAAGATTTGGATAAAATATTTTATTTTTGTTGCAAGTTATTCAATATGAATTATTCTACAAGTAAACTAGCTAATGAAAGAACAAAAAATTTGAGAAATATTGGTGTTAAACTTAAAAATCATGAAATAACTAATGAGCATAAAACTAATATGAATACTTGGATACAAAATGAATTAATAAGTTTGTTAGGAAATGAAGTAAGAAGCATATTAAAAAAGTTAAAGAAATAAAATACTATTCAATCATACTTGATTATACTCCGATGCAAGTCATGTCTCTCATATTACGATGCGTAGATATTACAATAAGTCCAATAAAAATAGAAGAATATTTTTTAGAGTTTATTAAAGTAGATGATACGAGTGAAAAAAGTTTATTTGATAAACTTATAGATGTAATAAGTAATTTTGAACTAGATATTAATGATATACGAGGACACGGATATGATAATGGGTCTAATATGAAAGGAAAACATCAAGGTGTACAAAAAAAGTTACTCAATATAAATCCTAGAGTATTTTACACATCATGTAGTTGTTATAATTTAAATCTAGTACTTTGTGATATGACTAACTCTTGTCAGAAGACTGTATTATTTTTTAGAATAGTACAACGTATACATTTATTATTTTTCTCTTACACAAACGATGAAAAATTTTACAAGATAATATTCAAGATTTAACTCTTAAGTCATTATCACAAACACGTTGGAAAAGTCGAGTTGAAAGTGTTAAAATAATAAGATTTCAAACTCTAAGAATAAGAGATGCATTATTGTAATTATCGAAAATTAGTGAAGATCTTAAAACAAGAAGTGAAGCAAATTGTTTAGCAACATATGAAGTTGAGAATTTTGAATTCTTATTGGGCATGACTATTTGGTATGATATTTTATTTTTGGTTAACTTAGTTAGTAAACATTTACAATCAAAAGACATGCATATTGATATTGCTATAGATCAATTAAAATGTCTCATTTCTTTTTTTGAAAAATATAGGGAAAGTGGATTTACAAATATTATAATTTCATCTAAAGAGATTGCATGTAAAATGGGTATAGAACTTATATTTCGTTAAAAATGTAAAGTTCATAAAAAAAAATAATTTGATAAAAATATTGATTATGAGGTAACACAATCTATTGAAGAATCTTTTAGAATTGATTATTTTACATATATAATTGATCAAGCTATTTCTTCACTAAAAAATAGATTTGAACGATTACAAAAGTAGGAAATTTTTTTGATTTTTTATTTAACTTAGAAAAATTAAAATCATTGAACAATGATAGTTTAAAATAATATTATTTGGATCTCGAATATTTCTTAAAATACGAAATTTTTTTCGATATTGATGGTTTAGATTTATTTTTAGAACAAAATATTTTAAAAGAAATTTTGGAAACGAAAGAAAATACTCCAATTGAGATACTAAATTATATAAAAATATTAGATTCTTTTCCAAATGCATGCATTGCTTATAAAATATTATTAATAATTTCTGTAACAGTTGCTTCTGCAGAAAGAAGCTTTTCAAAATTAAAATTGATAAAATCTTAACATCGACTATGTCACAAGAAAGATTAACTGGATTAGCGATACTATCAATTGAAAAAGACATGGTAGCAAAACTTGAATATAAAATCTTAATTAATAATTTTGCAACTCAAAAAGCAAGAAAAATTAATTTTTAAATAAAAAATATTAACACTAAACATAGAGAACTTTGTTTAGAAGTATCATTTTAGGTCTCAAATTATCTCAAAATTATCTTGAACCACCCTGAGGCTAAGTTTGAGGAAGTTTGGGAGGCGTTTGATATTTCTTGGGGTGGAGATGAAGGACACTTTGTGACCCTTTTGGGCAATGAACTTGAAGAGATCAAGGAATGAGATCATGTGACCAAAAGCTAGCCATGGGAACATCACTACGTGTAGCTTGGATTTGCGGGCCATGGCGGTGAGAGGGGCGCAGAAGCTTTGTGTGTGGCTGGTGTGACCGACGGAGAGATTCTGAAACGTAAGCGTTTCCTTGTGTGGGAGACACTCTTACTCTTTAGGAAGGAAACATCAGAGCTACCGGTTAAATTACACCATCTAATAATAAATTTATAAATAAGTTAAAAAAAAATACTACATAATCCAAAAAATTTTAAACTCAAATACATATTATCTCTTGAATGAGTGTGAGATAAGTAGATTCCACAAAAAAAGTTGATGAGACTCATTCATTCAAGAAATAATATGCATTTAAATTGCAATATTTTGATTTCATTCTCGTACCAAAACAAGTATCATTTAGGGATGAGACCCACTTTTAATCATAACATGGATGGTAAGTGGACCGAAGCAGGGGTCGGGGGTATAGTTTCCAATCTTGTACCCACTTAAAAAAATTCGTTCATCTCTAATCTACCTCTATTAACGAGTATAGTTTTCATCTTTATTTCTGTTCGCGTGTAAATTTGTAATCTCCGCCCCTGCCATGTCCCCTGCCTTCACCTCCGCCCCTGCCCCTTCCACCTTACCTGTCCCAACCTAAGCCAACACAATCTAAAATTTTAAATAAATCTAACATTCTAAATAATCAAATATAATATAATTAAAAGTTTATATTTCATGTAAATCTAACACAACATCATGCAACACAATATAATGTAACATAATATAATTTAGTATAAAAAAAATAAAAAAAAATATGAAAATCTATATTTTTACAAGTCAAAACAATAAAAAAATAAAATAATTTTCAATAATATGTAGATTTGTATTCACAACACATGTATATATCATAATAATAATAATAATAATAATAATAATAATAATAATAATAATAATAGATAAAACGGAGCGGGGAGAGGCGAAGTGCGAGTAAGTTTCAGTACATTCCCGCCTTCATTCTCACATGAGTTTGTATGAATATTCTCGTATACGTTTATTATCTAATATATATGACCTATTTTTTTATTCGAATAGAATTAGTTTAAACGAATACTCATTTTTATCTAGTGCATTGTTCATCTCTGATATCAATATTATTAAGGTACGAATATGAAATAGGACCAAAATTTGAACTCGACTTTGTACCCACTGTTTTGTCTTTTCGTGCAGGACTTGCTACTAACTTTTAAGAGGAGAAAATATTGAGTGTCATGTCATCATTAATTCAAAAATAAAAATAAAAATAAAAATTAGTGAAAGGTCCTTCTAAATGATTATTTACGCCATTAAATTCAATCATAGCACTTTTAAGATGATAAGGATAAAGTTAAGTATACTTTTTTATCCTCTAATTTATTTTAATTAAATATATTTTAAAAATAATCATTGAACCTTTAGTATCTCAAATTAATTAAATATTGTTCTATCACAAATGCTCTCTCTCTTTTTGTTTCTTAAGTTAGCTGTAGTCTAACTTGAGCTTATGTGGTCAATATAGGCGGTAGAACATTTTAGGGTTAATAGCACTTTTAAATGTTAGAGTATGTAATTTTCTTTTTCTTTTAGTTTTTGTTGTATTAATTTTATTAATTTAATCTTTAAAATATTTAATTTGTACGATTTTAACTCTTATATAGACGAATCATTAAATTTTTGATAGAATATTCATGCAAAGTTCGTCACACTCACCGGATTATTGACTAGATGAGCACCCTCCATGTCTACTACTTCATTTCCTGCGTAAATTCTCCACGTCTGATCTCCAATAGATCGGCTTCTATGCACAAATTCCATACTCTGAGGCTCTCGAAACAATTCCTCGGCTTGTTCGGTGTGCTCATAGCCTCATACCACACTGACACACGGAACGAATGAATATCACCACGGCTGATCTTGTGTTCATCATTGTTTAACTGGTAGCATCCTATTGCAATTTCGGTGTCTCGTTGCCCATCCATCGATCGCTGGTTCACGTTGGCCGATCCGATCAACATGTATACGTTCTCCACTGAAGAGCAAAAGACAATTTGGAATAAGGATTTTCAAAGGTATGGCCTTAGAACTAGTCCTCATATTGAATTTTAGATGAGTAATCACTTAAAGAATTCAATTAACTCGGGCTAGGTTTGGGTTGATTTGTTCAAATTGTAAAAATTTATTAAATCTAATCATATTTTTAATGTCATTATGCAAATAAGTAGAATCCAAACAATGTTTATTCAATTCTAGTAAAATTAAGTCTCAATGTTACTGACCTAAACAGTATTTTTGCTTTCGAGACATTAATATTATTAGATGAAATTCACTATTTTAACATCTTATTAAATTAAGGTCTAGTTTTAATGACCGAAATAAATAAATAAATTCAATTTTTGTCATCCTAAACATTAAAATTAGATAAATTTTACTAAATTTATTACAGATGATAATTTTGGAGGCAGTTTTGGCAAGCGTTTGATGTTCCTTGGGGTGGATATGAAGGAGATTTTGTGACCCTTTTGTGCAATGAGCTTGGCGAGTTCTAGGTATATGGGATGATGTGATCGAAAGAGAGCCAAGGCAACATTGCTATGTAAAGCTTGCCTTCATTAGCCATAACTTGTATAACAAGTCAAAGAGAAGTAAGTGATAAATAGTCTTATTTTTGTTTTAGAGAAATTGATTCTCGGGTTTGACTATGCTCTCAATTTCATTCTTCTACGTAAAGAAATTGAGGCAGTGCAGTTAAACGATCCATTTGACATGCTCCCAAGATTGTAAAGGATGTCCAATCATTCTTAGGACATGCAATTATAGGAGATTCATAAATACTTTAGTATTATAGCTAAACCCATATGTTATATCCTCAGTCATGACGTAATTGTTGTGTGGAGTGAAGCATGCCAGAACACTTTCAATAAGCTTAATGACATGTTAATTTCTGCTCCAATAATGCAACCTCCGGACTGGACTCTGTCGTTTGAATTAATGTGTGATGCTAGTGATTATGCTATAGGTGCTGTGTTGGGACAAAGAAAAAATAAGAAACCCTATGTGATTTACAATGCAATCAAGACTTTCAATGATGCTCAAATGAATTACTCGACAACTGAAACATAATTGCTTGCTATAGTTTTTGCTCTGGAGAACTTTCATTCATTTCTTGTTGGTTCTTCTGTTATTGTATTCACTGACCATGCAGCGTTAAAAATTTTGCTCACAAAAAAGGATGTCAAGCCAAGGCTCTAAAGATAGATACTCATGCTCCAAGAGTTTGATCTGATCATTAAGGATAAAAAATGGTGTTGAGAATGTGGTGGCAGATCATCTGTCCAAGTTAACATATGAATTTCATAAGGATGGATTGTCAATTAATGAAAATTTCCCTGATAAACAATTGTTCACGGTCATGGAATCACCATGGTACGCTGATATTGCTAACTTCCTTTCTACTGGTAGGTTTCCTCCTTCCTATATATTGATGAATAAGAAGAAATTTCTGAGGGAGGTTCATAATTTCTTTTGGGAGGATCCATACGTGTTTAAGTACTATAAGGATCAAATCATAAGGCGTTACATCCCCGAGCATGAGAGTAGATATGTAATATCATTTTATCATTCTGAAGCATGTGGTGACCATTTCTCATCAAAGAAAATCGCTGCAAAAATCTTGCAATGTGGATTTTATTGGCCCACACTTTTTAAAGATATCCATGCCTTTTGTCTAACAAGTAATAGATGCCAAAAGTTGGGGAGTATTTCTAAAAGAAACATGATACCCTTGAACCCAATTCTGATAATTGAAATTTTTGACTGTTGGGACATCAATTTTATAAGACCATTTTCCCCTTCTTTTGGCTATATATATATTTTAGTGGCAGTTGATTATGTGTCAAAATGGGTCGAAGCAATTCCATCCCGAAACAATAATTACTAAACAGTGATCACATTTTTAAAAGAAAATATTTTATCCAGATTTAGAATTTCGAAATCTATCATAAGTGATGGAGTGTTTATTTTTGCAATCGTCCTTTCTGAAATTTGATGAAAAAATACTTGATTTTTCATCAAATTGTAATCCCTTATCACCCACAGACTAGTGGACAGGCATAATTGGCTAATCGAGAGATCAAACTGATTTTAGAAAAAATGGTAAACCCAGATTGTAAAGATTCATCGTTAACACTAACTAATGCACTCTGGGCATATCGCACTACTTTTAAAACAATTTTGGGCATGTCTCCTTATCGATTAGTCTATGGCAAGCCTTGTCACTTACCTGTGGAATTGGAACACACAACATCCTGGTCCATTAAAGCAATGAACTTCAACCTAGACAAGACTGGACTCTCAAGAAAACTTCAGATTAATGAATTGGAAGAGCTGCTGAATGAAGCATATGAGAATGGTAAGATTGCTAAGTCCATAATGAAAATTTTGCATGACAAAAATATTGTGCAAAAGTCTTTTGAACCTTCTCAAAAAGTCATGTTATATAATTCAAGACTCCATCTTTTTCCTGGTAAGTTAAGATTAAGATGGATTAGACCTTACATTGTCAAACAGGTGTTTGTGCATAGAGCAGTGGAAATAGAAAACCCATCAAACGATAATATTTTCATTGTCAATGATCAGCGTTTGAAACTATTTTTGGAAGACTTTCTTAAAGATGTGGAAATCATTCTTTAAACGGATCCAAAATATTCCTCTGAGATTAACGCCTACCGACACAAAAAAGGGTCGGGTCAGAAAAAATTCAACCTAACCCGACCTGCTAGGACCTTTATAAGGCCTCCAACCCTTTTTTTTTTCCCCATTCACTGTTGTTGGCCCCCCTCCTCTTCCTTTCTTTTCTTCTTTTTCTTCTTCTTTGTTGTTCTCTATTCTCTGTAAAAACAACCCACCCCCTGCAAATCCATGACCATATACCCCAAAGACCCAGTCATTTGTCTCATGATTTGCATTTGTTTAGTCTATTTGTACATGGGTGTCTTACTTCTGTTCGCACTCACGCACAAGGGTTTCCATCCTAGCGAAAACCCAGATCTCCCTAAAGATGATAATTTTTTGTGTTTTGTTTGTAGGTTTCGGCAGATGAACAGATCTCTACCTTACAACCTTATTTCCAAACTCCATACAATGGTAAATTCTAAACTTTGGAGACAATGTTCAGTTTAGGTTGAGGGGTGTAAGAACTGCAGTTAATATTTTATGCCTGTAATTTTTTTTTGTTTTTGTTGTTATTGTTGTCACTTTTGATCATATTATGCACTCTGTTTCGTATTTTGTATAAATTGATGATCATGTCTTTGAGTCAGTTTAAATCGTCTTTGTGACTGACAGACGTTAAAGAACCAAATAGAGTGTTTTAAAGCGTAGCAAACATGAATATTAAACTTTTTTGGTTTAGTTTGAGAGTTTTACGCACTTTTCCATCTAATATGCATACTGTGATCATGAGAAAAGTAAGATTGGTAAGAAAAACCGAAATCCAAGAACATCAAGTGAAACCACTGTGCAGAAACACATTTGCTAAACATCGTCGTGCCAAAAGACTTGGTGCTTGTAAACAATGTGGCCGGGTCTTTCACATGAAAGAATATAATCAGTATTCTGAACCAATTTCTGGTCGCGCACTCGATCGATTAGACTGGATAGTGAATGAACAGAGTAAGGATTATCCTGACACATCATCCTATTTCGGTATTTTGCTTAACCGATTTGTGCGACAGGAAATTAGAAGAGTCATTGATGGTTCAAATGGCACGGAAACAAAGGAAGACTCAGATTAGACTATTTTTTGACGAAAAAATATGTTTTTGGAATGAAAGCCAAGGGTCTGAATTTTTGTAAAAATTATAAAAATATTTTTTTAAATCTACAAAATCTTTGTTGATTGAAATGAAGAAAAGTGGGTAGAGTAAGGAATGTCCTAAAATACCAACCTAAAGCGTGGGTAAAGGCTTATCCTAAGACACCACGAATTTTAGTTCAAACTTGTGTGTATAAGCTTCTTTTATTGTGTAAATGAATATGTATAAAAAATTTTAATTTTTATCTGGCGTTCGAACGCCAGATTACATTCGAACGTCATCTGCTTATAGTACTTTGGTCTCTAATGAAAACTCAAAAGTACTGGGAGCTCATTACGTTCGAACGCCAGGAGAACGTTTGAACTAGAATCCCATGTTCGAATGCCAAGAGAAAGTTCCAACGCCATGAGCTTACAGTACTTTGATCTTTGATAGAACTCAAAAGTACTGGGAGCTCTGCACGTTCCAACGTTAGTCTAACGTTTGAACCATGTGTTTAAAAAAACGTCAGTGACGTTCAAGCGTTCACTCCCAGTCTATAAAAACCTGGTTCGTCTTCTTCATTTCAAAATCCTTCAAAACCCCCAAATCCTAGGGTGCCTCTTCACTACCCAAGCTTCAAAACACCACCCATTCTCAATTTCTACCAAAAATCAAGCAACCCAAACACATTCCACCTCATTTCTCACTCTTTCACCAAGAAAATCATGCTTTACAAGCCCTAACACCCCCAAACCCAAAAACCATGCCTCCTGCTAGGCATAACATAGCCATTCAAGAACCCAACATGGTAGAGGAGGTCATTGAGGAGAGAGAAGGGAGGCCCATAGTCTAAATTTATGATCGAACCCGCTTCCCCAATGCCCTCAAGGCAGACAGGTGTGAGAATTTCTATCGAAACCAAGTTGTGGTTTGTGAGTGGACTGTGATATTGACTGATTTTGCGGAGTTGGAAATTTTTGAGAACTTTGAGGCGAAGGGGTGGATATTGTATCCGAGAAACGGCGGAGAGGTCATGATTGACTTGGTGCAGAAGTTCTACTCCACCTCTGAAATAGTCAATGGGACGATAAAGACTTATGTAAGGGGAAATCATATTGATGTGGATGAGGATTACATTTGAGAGATAAGGCAAGAGGTGCCTCGGGTACCAATGCCAACCTACCCCCCCCCCCCCCCCCGAGGAAGAAGGTGGGCATGGA